TTCCCTCACATCCCACATCCCAAGATTGGCAAATCCTATTAGTTCTAACTTCATATTCTGAATCTGCCACTTATCATCACCTCCAGTGCCACTTTCCTCTCACCTGGCCTTTGCTTTAGTCTCAGGCTCAGTGGGTTCCAAAGTGGGTAAAACCTTCCACTGGAAGCATTTTTAAAACATGTGAAGCTATATTCATTAATCAAATGGATTGAAGACATTTGGCCTTTAATGGTCAGTGATGCCAGATACCCTTCAATGCACAGCTAGTCCTCCAGAAAAAAAAAAAAAAATCCTCCCTGCTGCTTTACTTTTAAATGCCCCACATTCATGGTCACTTCTAAGCCTAGAATCTAATTCCATTTTACTTATATATGCAATGCGTGTGTGTGTTTTTTTAATGTACATGGAATTTTTTAGGTTTGTATTTGCTGTGTAAATTAGAAGAAAGTTCTACTTGGCATTGAAAGTTTATTAAGAATTTTTAATTTCAGAAAATGACATCATTGACTGTGCTGTTCTTGGTCTTTGAGTTGCTAGTGTAAAACACCTGTGTTGGTCCTTTTACTTTCTCATTTACAGTAGGCATACATATGGGTATTAAAATCTGACCACTAGTCATTGTTTTCTATTGTATTCTTGCAAGAGGTATATTGAAATACATGGTTTTTTAAATAAATTATTTTCCATTTATTGCTCTTTGGTATTATGAATAGGGCTTTTGAAATTTTGAATTATTTTAAATGTTGAGTTGTTTTAATAATCAGTTGTAATGGGTAGTTTAGATTTATTTAGAATGCTAAATTGCTTGACAGAGTTGAGGTTCACTCTTCTAACTTGTCTTTTGTTTTTTTTTGTCCTTGAACTGTGATGCTTAGAATGGCGCTGGCACCTTAGTCATTCAGTTATATTGATTGAATGGGCAAATGTCTGTGTTTTCAAATTTCAAGTATGAATATTGGAATTGCCATTTAAGTGCAAGATCATTGGCAATTCAGCTCTAAATGCGTACCTTATAGAATTTCTATAGATGATAAGGAAGAGAATTTATGAAAAGCCTTTATTATAATGCATAAAATATATAAGCATTTGATTTAAAATGATCTATTACCTATATCATCTATCATTAACTACCTATCTACCTACCTTCCTAACTATTTGCTATGTATCTCTCTGTCTGGCTATCTATGTATCTGTCCATTCATTGAGTTTTCCATCCAGCTATGTATTATTTATGCATGTATCCTCTCTCTTATATCTGTCACTCTTATTCTAACAATTTAGAGTAGTTAGATCAGCCCGTGTCCTTTTGGTCATGCAGTTTTTGAGATTTGTGTATATTGTGGGCATGAATAGAGTTTGAAAGTAATTCTCCCCAGGAAGACAGAGATTTATATGATCTGTTAAATGTGATGGAAAAATTGATATAGAAAAACTCTCTGGGTGTATATAATATTATTTTATTATTATTAGTCTATTCCTGAAAATGCTTTCACCTAGTAGATTTATTTTGCTGGATCTCATCCTTTCTCCTATGTCTGCAATTATTACAGGAATTTAATTAATGTAAATGTGTTAAACTTAATTTTCCATATGGGGAGGAACTGACCATGATATTACTACAGATTTATATAGGTACCTTTATAAAATTATCCATATAACTAGAGATTTGACATTTAGTAGAAACAAGAATTAAAATCCCATTTATAAGAAATCTCATTAAAGGGTTTGGATCCATTTAGAGACGTAGAAATGAATCACACAAGTGCTTTCTTTGATGTTTTCACTCTCTATCTTTTCCTTTCTGTGTAGTTCATCCAAAGATTTTTGCCTTATATTAGTCATTAAAATAAATAATAATCTGTGGATCTACTTACTGGTTATATGCAGGCAAACTCCTACATATAACCTAAATAACCAATTATTTACTAAATAACCAATACTTTATTCTTATTGCTGGTATTTTGAGAGAAATGTATGACATTTCAAAAATATACAATAATTAAAGATCAAACAAAATGCAATAAATATTTCATATATAAACTGATTTGTTTGAGGAAATTTCAGAATCAGTTGCAGCATTGCTTAAATAGCAAAACATTAAAAACAATGCAATTTATAAGGAAATTGGTCAAGAGAAAAATGGCATAGCTGTACACATACAGAATTTTGTAAATTCTAACATATACATTTACCTAGAAGAATATATATCAAATTATTCAGAGTGGTTTTTGCTTTGGGAGTGGAATTATGAAGTAATTTTCCTTTCCACATATTTCAACTTGATAGAGTTTGATCATTATCTAATAATAATAGCAATTAAAAACAATGCAGATTAAAACTCTTTGATAGATCTAGATAAACTTTCTAGAAAAAAATCATATCTGATATTAAGTATTTTTTTTTTTTTTCTAATTTAAGAGTAAGAAGAGCTTATATATTCAGTTCGATGCTTCTGGAAAAGAATGTAATTTGTAACTCACAAAATAGTGTACTTGGACAAATTACTTAACCTTTCTCAGCCTATTTCTTCACTTGTAAAATGCAGATAATAAGAGCAACTCCCTCAAAGATAGTAAAATTGAATGGGAGATTTAATGCTCACATTAAATGCCATATTAAAGGAAACTATCGGCCTGACTTAAATCAGAGCAAGAAAGCCCTTCCAGAAGAATAGGGTACACTGAAGAAGTACTGATTATTAGTGATTATAGCCTTTGCCTCCCCTTCAGAACGTCATGTCTGTTTCTTTTTTCACCTATTCAAATAGAAATTATTATTCTATAGCAACTTCTGTTGGG